GCACGATGTAACAATAACCAATTTAGGCAGTATAAGAAAATAAATAGGTAACACGAATAATTTAGGGGCAATTATACATTGACCAATTTAGCATCCACTAGTGATCTGTAATTAATTTTAGAGTTTTTTTTTCTAATTTTTACAAAACACAATGTTATTGATTATTAAGTTTAAATTTACCAGAACGGAAAAAAAGACGAGGGATTCTTATCCCGAATCGATGTTTGAAACACCGTACTTCTCACTGCACCTCCTAGCAGTCTCCGAGTTTCTTGAATTGTTCCTGTAGAAATTAAAAATACTCGTCATGTATCTAAAAACACCTCAAGTGACCAAAATAAGTATTTTTAAACTTTTCCGGCCAATTTAAAATTTCGGCGCGGCGGCAGCACCATGCTCTGGTGCCGGCTCAGCCACCCATGCTAGTGGTTCCTCACGACCTGGCCATTTTCAGCCGGTTTAGGCCAATTTTGACCGGTTTTACATGAAAACTTGTAAAAAACCAAGTTAGATGGCCTCTATTTGCCGAAAAAGGTAAAAACCAAAACCTTACTAGCGGAAAAGTCTCCAGGTGCAGCGGCTTTGTCGTTCCTCCTTTGCGATCAAGGTTTTCCTTCGACTAACCTGCACATAAAGGGACGAGAAACAAAATGGTCAAAAAACTGCTGGGAATGGGAATCGAGAAGGGGGTTATTGGAGGGATTTTCGGATTACAGTAGTGGCAGCTTAACCAAGGTCCACTCGTATTTTCTGACTCACCCACTGCCCTTTTTACTCCGATATGGGTGTGGCTCGGAATTCAATTTCGAGTGGTAAGAGAAAAATTTTACCTCTTTCGGCACCGACGGTGGTGGTGGTCTTGGGGTGGAAGTGACGGTGTCCCTCCGACAGTTGGTTTTTCCTTTGGTCGCCTTCATTCTTCTTCTATGGTCAGGGTTGTCACTTACGATTTTAGGGCCGACTGAAGAGAGGTTTTAAACCTCTATTCCCTCTGATCCTGGCCGTTCGTCCGCGTCGACGTAGAGCGATGAGAGTCGTCCCATCGTTGCTTGTTTAGGCCGATCATGTGTGTGAATCTGAACTATTCATCGCAATCAATTTCATCTGTCCGATCGCATCTGAAGAAAAAACACATATGGGTCGTTCATGTACGTGAGATGCGATTTGGGTCGTCGGATCGCCCGTGTGGAGCCAGAGTCAGTGTGTCCGCCACGTGGCGTGTTCTGACTCGCCGTGCTGTTGATGTGGCCGTCCCACGTGATCATATTTTCCCTTTATACGATTCTACCCCCCTGTTTCTCCCTTATTCACAATTTCACCTATTTTTTAAAAAATTATTTTCAATTTCTTCCCTAAATTTATTTTTTCTCAAAAAATTTCATCAAAAATAAAATAGAATAAAAATTAAATTATTTAAATATTATTTTATTAATGTAAAATTATATAGGACTACATTTTTAGAACTGGGTGTTACATTTATTATTTTATAAATATATTACAAACTTATAACAACTTACTTATAATATGTAATTAAATTAAATTAAAAAATTTAATTTACTAATATGTTGGTTAGATTGCACTGTGTGAGTTATGTTACATTTCAACAAATTCATTTTATTCTTAAACGAAACAAATATTATTATGAATGTATTATGAACATACAATAATTAATTTATAATATTTTATTTAGTTAGATTAAAAAATTTAATTAATTTATTTATTTATGAGATTGCAGAAATTAAATTAAATTATATTTAATCAAATTTATTATTTTTTTTAAATAAAATAAATATTTTATAATAATTATAAGAATAACTATTATGAACTTTAAAAAATAAAAAAAAATAAGTCTTCTTTCTTTTTTTCTTATCCTTTTCCTTCGTTGTGTCAAAATGTTAGGAATCTGATCCAGCGAAGGCGGTGCAGTGGGGTTTTACAACCATCAATCAATCTCAAACTAAAAATGACATTCCATAATGTATATATATACACACACACATATATCTCCGGCTAATAAGCTTCATTTAGTAAAAATATATTATATTTTCATTTAATTCTTAATTTTAATAATATATTTACATATTCAGTTTATACTTGTATTTTCAATTAAACCTAAATTTTATTTTTATTTAAATTTATAATTTATTTGTATCGATCATATTTAAATTTACATAATACTCGTTGTCATATGTAAAAATATATATATATATATATATACACGGGGTCCTATTTTTTCCATTTTATTATGTCATATATTGTCAGATTTTTATTTAATTAATAAAATATATATTAATTTTTATTATAAAAAAAACACGTATATGTAAATGTATATGAATTATTATTACTGATGAGTAGGTTTATTTTATGCTTCTCCACAAATATGAGAAACTTAAGACCTAAGCCGATTGACTTTCAAACTTTTTCACACTTCAAAATTTTGCACGTGTGACTTTATAATTAAGTTTGCTATACACGAAGATACAACGAATTGGGTGAAGTTGCGAGTGGCTGCATTTTCTACAAGGAAACCACAATTCACAAATTGAGTTTGAGATTCACGCACTGGGGGGTTTCCGTTTCCATCCTAAGATTTCTACTTCTTACTTTCTATTTTTAACACGTGCGTGAATCCGTCCGTTCATTCCGCAATACGGACCGTTTTGTTTTTGTTTTTATTTTTATTTTTATTTTTATTTTCTTCCTTTTTATATATATATATTTAAAAAAACAAAAAACAAATTAGGCGATCAAAATATCTCAATTACATCTATTCGTGAATCTTATTTTTTAAATTATTTTTAAAAAATTATAAGAAAATATTTTTAAATTATATCAATCAAATTTACGAGTATAAATATATAATTTTTTAAATAAAATATTAAATTAGTGTATTTATTACATTTTAATGTCTAATATTTTCTTATTATAATTAGAAAAAACTAAAATAATTAATTAAATTTAATATATTAATAAAAATTCTCATATCTATTCATTTAATTAACTATTTAAAGTATTAAATTAATATTTTTATTTAATTAAATTTTAAATAATTCAAACATATCATAATTATTTTCTTTTTTCAGTAAATAATAAAAATAAACTATACATTAAAAAATAAAAAACATCAGTGACTAAATTATAATTTAAAAAATTTAATTATAATAAGTGTTAAATTTTGAAAATTAATTTAATAATTTATCTTAAAAATATAAAATAACCAATAATATACAAAAATATCGATAAATAACTGAAATTATAATGAAAATAATTCACAAAGACGTGTTACTAAAAGTTAATTTATATTATAAATTTTTTTAAATTAGCTATTCTACACAAATAAGCATACAATCATATACCGAATTCACATGCTCTGTGAGATTAATATTCTAACTAATAGATTAATTCCATTATATTAATTTACTTAAAAATATTAAAATGGAACCAAATATTTGATATAAAATTATTATCCTTATCCATTATATTGAGTTATTTATATACTCATAAGAAGCCTTGTAAATAATGGTTGCCAAGGGAGAAACTGACAAAAGACATTTTGAAGATGGATTGCTCCTCCAACTAATTGGATATACTCCATTTTTTTAAGAATAAAAAAATATTACTTCATATTTTTTAATTATAAAAATAAATTAAAAATAATTAAGAGTTCTTCGTGCACATCCTGAATCAATAAACTCTTATAACATTAATTATAATAAGTTGTTAAAAATCACACAACACATGGACGTACTAGTAAAGACCAAAGTGCAACGAAGAACCAAAAATTACCAACCAATTATAATTTTGATTATTGTAACATTATTAATATACTAATAAATCAAATAAGTGATTTTATTAAATTAAATATCATAAATTAATCTATTCCAATTAAATAGCTAACCTAATGTTCTATACTCCTTCAATATTATCAAGTATAAGGGACATTAAACTAAAATATCTTGCACTAAGTCCAATATAATTAATAATGTAGAATAA